TTTAAAATTAATTAATTAATTAATTAATTTTGCTTTTGGGGTCACGCCCAGCAATGCACAGGGGTGACTCCTGGCTTATGCACTCAGGAATTACTCCTGGTGGTGCTGGGGGAAACCATATGGAATGCTGGGAATTGAATCCGGGTTGACCAAGTGCAAGGCAAACGCCCTACCCACTGTGGTCTTTTTGTTTTGTTTTGGGGTCACAGCCAGCAGTGCTCATGATTTACTCCTGACTCTGCATTCAGGAATCATTTTTTCCCCACCCTCCTCCTGCCTCCATGACAGACATGCTTCCCCATAATCTCTCTCTACTTTTGGGCATTATGGTTTATAGTACAGACCCTGAGAGGTCATCATGTTTGGTCCTTTATCTACTTTCTGTACACATCTCCCATCCCGACCAATTCCTCCAGCCATCTTTTTCTTAGTGATCCCTTCTCTATTCCAGCTGCCTTCTCCCCTTTGCTCATGAGGTAGGCTTCCAGCTATGGAGAATCTATCTGTCCCATGTATCTTTAGATGTCAGCCTCATGTTATGTTGTTTTATACTCCATAAATGAGTGCAGTCCTTCTATGTCTATCCCTCTCTTTCTGACTCATTTCACTTAGCATAATACTCTCCATGTCTATCCATTTATAAGCAAAGTTCATGACTTCATCTCTCCTGACAGCTGCATAGTATTCCATTGTGTAGATGTACCAAAGTTTCTTTAACCAGTCATCTGTTCTAGGGCACTTGGGTTGTTTCCAGATTTTGGCTATTGTCAGGAGTCACTTTTGACTGGCTTGGGGGACTATATGAGATGCTGGAGATCAAACCCGGATGCATGCAAGGCAAGAACCCTACCAACTGCTGTATCACTTAGCCCCTGATTGTGGTTGTTTCGTCTTACTGATACATATGGAAAAGCCTGGCAGAACAATCAATAGAATGTTAACAATGCTGGTTCTTGAGTCACATCCCCAAATAGTTTTAATTTCCTTCTATTTTCTTTTCTGATTCTTCTAAATCTATTCTACAATGACTAGATGATAGTACTATCATTGAAAAAAAGTCATGCTTGGGGTTTAAATGTGCCCAACAACAAGCTTAGAAAAAGGAGAAAAAGAATAGGGTCTGAGAAACACATCCTTGGATCAAGAATTACACAATTATCTCCTCCCCTGGCTAGCTTAGGAGCCGTCTCTACTCCCCCTTCCAGTATATACAATAGCAAATGGACACAAAGACATGAAGCAACTTGCCCCAGACCACACAGACCCAGAGGCTGGAAGCCAAATTCAGGTCTCTCTGTGGTTCACCATCCCACTGTGTATAATCATGTGTGTGCATGCGTGTATACACACACACACGCACACACACACACACACACATCCTTAGAGTGGTATTGTCTTTTCAAAATACATGGAACTTGGCCAAGATTGTAGCACTTGCCCTGCATGCATAAAGTTCTGGGTTTATCGCTGTGCACCTGTAAGGTGGTGTGGTACATGGAGCTACTGTCGTTTCAATCGTAGCGTCTCTGGCTATAGGGCTTCTACCTGGCTCCCAGCCCTGTGTGGAAAAGACAGTGCTGAGTAGGCATTCTCGCCCTGTTGTCGCAGCACTGGATGTCTGTCATCTCAGCCAGTGCTCCCAGAGTCTCATGAGGTGAGTTTGCAGGGAGGATCCCCCTTGTCACTTGGCAGGTCATAGGGCAGAGACACTGTACTTCGGAGAAGGGAAGTGAGACCCAGCCAAGGCCACGTGGGAACGAGGTGTGGTTGTGTAAGGGCCCCTGACCTTCATCACAGCCCCCACACCCCTGCACTCCCCCTCCACCATTAGTGCAGAATCTAGGCGCCATCAAGCCAGTGAGACCAAAGAGTAAACGGCGGAGCAGGAAATCAATTCTGTTTTAATGATAGCACCTCGCTGAGATGGGAGGCGCCTGGAAGGGGGCACTTGCCTTTCCCACATTGACCTCAGTGGGCTGCAGTGGCCCTAGGGCCACACCAGAGACAGGCAGACTCCACCCGTTCCTCTCACCTGCTGAATTTCCCAGCACCTGGTTCCTAGGGAAAATTGCAGAAGCTGGAAGACAGGCGGTAAGATAGAAAGAACTGGATCAACTTTTATTTGCCTGGTAAAAAGGCAATACTCAGTTCTTTGAAAAGGTACAAAGGGTAGGCAGTAAAGAGTGTCCCTCTTACCCTCAGACAGCAACACCCTTACCCCACTTCCGGTCTCCTTCCTAGAGTCACACACTCTCTTGAGCAGCTCTTAAATCCTTTCAATGAGAATCTCGCATATACACACAAATGAAAATCAAATTTCAAATCCACGCTGTGCATCCAGATGAGCTGAATGTGACTCGAAGCAGCCCAGGCTTCTCCTGGCTCTCATTCACTGCGTACCAGTCTTAGCTTCTGAGCCTCGCTTTCCTCATTTGTAAATGAGGCCAACCCCACCAGCCAGAGTTTAATCTGCAGATGAAACTGGATGTAAACATACATGAATAATTTCAAATGTTTTCAGTTATTTAGAGAAACATGGAGAGAGCCTGGGGATGGCTTGGTGGCAAAAACATCAGGCTTGCAAGCAGATGGTCATGAGTTCGATCCCAGTGTCATGTGCGTGCTCAGTCCCACCAGCTCTGCTTTTTTTGACCCCAGGTGCTGCAAGAGTGCAATGTCTGGCATATTGCAGTCAGATGTGTGTGACAGTCAACACGCTAGTTGTATTGCGTGTGTGACTTTCCAGCGAGCACCTAAAAAAAATGAGTGAGCACTGTGTCCAGGAGAGTAACCCCAGCATGCATGGTGTGAGCACCACAGCGAGCATGACAACCAGAATGTTCTAGAGCAGTGCAACTAAATGAGTGTGACCCCGAGAAGTACCATAACCAGATATCCTAGCCACAGTGGAATGACTTATATAATCCCCAGTCATTGCAACAACAAAGAGAAAGGAAGAGGGTGGCAAATGCATGTTAAAAGTTGAAAGAAAGTATCACATATTATATATATATATATATTTACAAAGTTTGGGTCACTATGAGGAAAAGTGGGTCAGTGAAGTGGACACAATTGTCCGTAGGCCCTGAGAGTATGGTGACCCCCCCAAGAACAGGGTGGCTGGCTGCATTGACAGAGATCTCACACTGGTCTTGGTCTTCTTGGTCTGCAAGATGTCATTTCTGGCTTGGAGATCTGTGACCTTGACATGTGTCTCTATCATGAATCTCTCTGGCTTCACTCTTAATGTCAGGTAACACTGGCTGATCAAGTCACTGATTGATCGTGACCTAGTCAACTCTCTCTTAGTTCATCTCCACAACTTTTCCTGGCAAGATGGGGTTCAAGGAGAGGGAAAGTGAGACAGGCAGAGAGATATAGGAGAACCAGAAATCAGGATGGCAGGTTGCCTCTGAAGGTCAGCCAAAAGCAGAGCCTAAAGAGATCTCTCTTGGCCAAGGTTAGACCTAGAGACAATGAACAAAGGGCCCTTCAACCCCTGTCACGTCTAGGGCACTGGGCAGGATTATTTGTCCTGTAGTCCACCTGTCTATCTCTCCCAAACTGCTGAGGCTGAGCAGAGCCTTCCCTTTGGCAGAAGTCCACCTACCAAGGTAAACCAGATTTGGCCTGCTGGAGCCTTGGGCAGGAGAGGAAGGACATACCAAGAAGTGGAAGGCACTACAAGTAGCCGACTTCTGGGTGGGAAATGAGCAACCAAGGCAGAAACTGAGTGCAGCGTGGAGGGGCCTGAGTTCATGGGGAATAAAGGAAAGGAGGCTAATGCAACAGACTGTTGAGAGACAGGCAATAGATAGAGGAAGGCTGGACGGATGGGTGAGTGGAAGGAAAAATAGTGGAGGGATGGTGGATGGATGGAGGATGAGTGGGTGGATGGAAGAAAGAATGGTGGAGGCATGATGGATGGATGGATGGATGGATGGATGGAAGAAAGAGTGGTGGAGGCATGATGGATGGATGGATGGATGGATGGATGGATGGATGGAAGAAAGAGTGGTGGAGGCATGATGGATGGATGGATGGATGGATGGATGGAAGAAAGAGTGGTGGAGGCATGATGGATGGATGGATGGATGGATGGATGGAAGAAAGAGTGGTGGAGGCATGATGGATGGATGGATGGATGGATGGATGGAAGAAAGAGTGGTGGAGGCATGATGGATGGATGGATGGATGGATGGAAGAAAGAGTGGTGGAGGCATGATGGATGGATGGATGGATGAGGGATGGATGGAGCACTGGAGGAAATGAGAGTAAGGAGGTGAGTTCTCGGACTTGGTTGCACATGGGGAAGCCAACTGGTGTCTGTGGCTCTACATATTCTCATTCTCCTGTTGGACCCCGCCCCACTCCCTTCACTGCCTCTGCTGCCTGTGCCAGGGGTTCAGAGGGTCTGATGTGCTCGCATCTCAGGGCTTCTAGCCTCCCTCACCCGATGAATGCCCTTTGGCCCCAGCATCCAGGGAAAGTGACAAAGAAAAATGAACAAACTGAAGTGAAAACTGGGAAAGACCCTCTCACTAACTGTCTGGGTGACCTAAGGCAGATCACTTCATCTTCCCAGTCCCCAGTCTCCTGATCTATGAAATGGGTCTATAACGGGAAGCATCCCCAACCAGAAGGAACCAAAGTTTGGTTCAGGCCCTGCCCCGGGGATTCGGGGACACAATGGGCAGCCGGGCAACTTCACGGGTACACTCCAGTCTCAGGGGGCTGCTGGTGGTGGGTTTTACAGCTCAGGAACAAGCCTGGGGAAAGTGGAGGGTATGAGCCCTAAGCGGGGCTAGTGTCTCAGTCCTGGGAACAGACCGTCCTCTGTCCAGGGAGCGCTGGGCTGGAGCAGGGCTAGGTCCCCACGCCTCTCATCGGATCCCCGGGCTCAAGTGGCCAGCGGGTGGAGGGGCGGGGGTGGGGCAGAGACGGCCTCTCTCGCCCTGCTGGGGGGTGGGGGGGCGGGTCCCCTGGGAACTGCTCCTCCCGCCCGCCACCGCTTTAAGAGGCTGCAAGGCGCGGGGCCGGAGCCGCAGCCCGGAGCGCGGAGCCGGAGCCGAGCCGAGCGGGCAGGTGCAGGGCTGCGGGGACGGCAGCGGCATGACCGGCCACCACGGCTGGGGCTACGGCCAGAACGACGGTAGGCGCCCCCGCCGGCACGCCGCCCCGACCGGGGCTCCCCAACCCCTCCAGCCCCCACCCTCCAGGCCGGCCCGGGACCCTGGCAACCCCCTTCCTGCACCCGGCGCGAAGTCCGCGCCGCCTGCCCGCCCGCGCATCCCGCCGCCTCCTCCGCGCAGCCCCAGGCAGCTGTGGCGCTCGTTCGGACCCGAGCCCGACACTTGCTCACGCGCCCCGGAGGGCGCCGCTGCGGGCCGAGAGGGCCCCGGGCAGCGCGGGGTGGTCGGGGCGGAGCGCGGTGCGCGGTGTCTGTGCGGGGAGCGCGCACGGCGTGTGTGTGCGGGGGACCTCCCGGGAGGGGCTCCGCGGGGGCAAGGGCGCAGTGTCCCCGGGAGAGCTTCCCCGAGGAAGCATCGTCTTGGCTGTCGTGCTGGAGGTATGTGAGGGCGGGGGCATACAGGGGCGCACGCCTGGGTCCGGGCTTCCGCATAGAGCGGGATGTGTGAGCACGTCCCGGCTTGAGACGCCAGAGCCGCTGGCCCGAACCCACCTCTGGGGTGACGGGCCCGACAAGCTGACCAGTAACAGGCGCTCCGTCGCTCAGTTGAGGTGGGGGTGGGGAGGGGGAGGCAAAGAAGAAAGAAAGGGCGGCAGAAGGGAGAACCAGGCAGGCTTGGTCCGGCTCTGGGCTACTTCTTACCAACCTGGAGCAGGGACCTCACTGCTCTGTTCCCGCATCCCTAGCATGTGTGTGGGCCCTGCGCTGGTCAGGCTATGGGGGGCAGGACTTTGCAATGCTGGGGGGGGGGGGGGGCTCAGGGAGGTGCCTGCTGTCTCTGCCTTTCCCCAAGACCCCCAAGGACAGGATAGCCTAATTTGGAGGGGAGAACCCCAAATTAGGCTATCCTGTGGGCGTACATGGTAAAGAGATCCAGGAAAAGGCCACGTAGAGCTGCAAGGATGGAATGAAGCAGGGAAAGGGCAGGTGGACAGACCCCGCGAAGCTCCAGTTCCTCCTGCACCTGCTCTGGGCCAACATCTAAGGGTGTCCCCAGGAGAGGGAGCCCCCAACTCTAGCCTTGCTGGTCCTGTCTCTAGTTGTGAACAGCCAGGATGCTCTGAGGCCTGCCACCCTCAGGTCCCTGCCCATCATCAGCCAGACCAAGGTGGTACCTTCTGGGGGTAAGGAGGGAAGGGAACAGGCAGAGGGAGGTGCCAGCATGCGACGTGCTCATAGGACTTCAAAAATAACCCAGTGGGTCTGGGCCACCATTCTGAGTCATCCACTGGGGCCTCGGCTCCGTCGGCACCTGCTGCTGTTTTCTCAGGAAAACTTAAGAAGCCAAAAACGGGGAGAAGCACCAGCCGGCGATGGCGCTAAAAATAGGTCGCATCTCAGGATGTTCCCCGGGGAGATGCCGAGCCTCCAGGCTACAGATGGAGGCTCTGGGAGGCAGGTGGTGGGCGCCTGTGGGTGTACGTGCAGGTGTGTGTGTGTGTGTGTGTGTGTGTGTGTGTGTGCACGCAGGCGCGCACAAGTATGTTTGCTGGCATCTTTTCATGCAGACCTTGGTTTGCAACAGGGTGTGTTTGTATGGGAGGGTGCACACGTGTGTGTTAGATGGAGTCAGCAGGGACATGCATGTTTGCAGTCGTGCGTGTTGCTGGTCACTGAGCACATGGGTGTGCAAGGAGGAAATAGGTGGATCGCTGGGCACATGTCAGGGAAGGGCAGCTGGGGCAGGCCACGCACACATACTTATACCATACCCAAGCATGCACATGCCTGAGGGGCTCTCAGTTCCCTCATCTGAGAAACAGCACCCCTGCTGCTCTCTCCTTCACTAGGGGCCTTTGTGGAGCTGAGACATCTCTCAAGTCAAAGTGAGGCCCCGGTGAACATCACCATGAACATGTCTAAGGCAGGGGAAGGGGAAGTGGCTAGCATCAGACTGGGGACACCAGGGTTTGGGGGACCCCTCTGAGCATGTACTGGGTATGGGGGTGAGTCTGCTGTCCAGACGGCCCCTCTAGGCTTCCTGTCAACTCTAGGAGGTGAATGTTAGTGAGCTCATTTCACAGACAAGGGAAAGGATGGTGAGAGGGGAAGTGACAGATTGGTGGCCCAAGCTGCCCATCTTCGATCTGGGACCTCTGAAAGCACACCAGAGAGAAGGCTGGAGACCCGGGCTCATGCCCTGACACCACATGGTCTCCTGAGCACCTCCACGAGCAAGCCCTGAGCACCCAGTTGGGAGTAGCCCACCCCCAGCACCTCTGGTATATCTCCCCAACCTCCCTGAGAAAAGAAGACAAGGGGACCATGGCCCACGGATGCCCTCAGCATGTAGCCGAGAGATGTCTGATCCTTGCCCTCTGCCCACTGCAGGCCCTTCACAGTGGCACAAGCTGTTTCCCATTGCCCAGGGAGAGCGCCAGTCCCCCATCAACATCGTGTCCAGCCAGGCTGTCTACTCGCCCAGCCTGAAGCCTCTGGAGCTGTCCTATGAGGCCTGCAGGTCTGTCAGCATCACCAACAACGGACACTCTGTCCAGGTGGACTTCAATGACAATGATGACCGAACCGGTAAGTGGTCTGTGCCAGAACTGGTGCTCTGCCCGCCCGCTGTGGACAGGCTCGGGAGGGGCATCAGGCTGAGGTAGAGAAGGCAGGTCCTCTCTCCAGCTCCAGAGCCTCCGGCTCAGGTCTATGCCCTTGTGCATGCAATGCAAGCAGCGGAGGCTGCTCTCCTCTCCAGGGCCACAGAACTGCAGGGATGTTGAGCTGGTCTACAGCAGATGCCCAAGAAATGTTTTTCCCCCTCCTTCTCATCCACCACACTTTAGGCTGGTTTGATTTTTCATTCCCTGCCCCATTAGTGAGGGGCAGGGTGGCCTATGGCCAATCTCTCCTCTCTGTGATCTGGCCAAATGCAACAGAGAGAGAGAGAGAGAGAGAGAGAGAGAGAGAGAGAGAGAGAGAGAGAGAGAGAGAGAGAGACAGAGAGAGAGAGAGAGAGAGAGAGAATGGAGCTAAAAGGTGCTGTGGCCCTGCGCCCACCTCTGCTGCTCTTTTATTCCTCTGCACCACCACTAACATGGGTGAGCACAGAGAGTTTGGGAGCTGTGGGGCCCAGAGCCAGTCCCGCCCCATATAAAGATCCTCTCGCCAGTCCACTCCTGACCTCAAGATCCCCATCATCCTGGGTCGGAGAGGCCAGTGGGAACTTCGGGCAGCTCCTTCCCAAGTTTCTTTGCCCTAGAATAGAATCCATGTTTGTCTGCAGTCAGGTCTTAGAGAGCTCAAGAATATTCCCTAATGAAGGAATTTTGTCTTTGGGCCCGGCCAGTGAAGAAGAACTGGCTGCTTCCTTGGGTAAGGGGATGGTTGGTGCTCTGTCCCCTGCTTCCTGTCTCCCCTTCCCCCAACACACACAACTAAGGACTCCAGGGAACTTCTGTTCTAAAGAAGAAGTCAAGAAGTAGGTAAAGAAACAGACTTTCTGGCTTAGTTGCTCAGATCTGAGTTCCTTGGCAAGCTAGGAGTAAAGAGAAAGAAGTTCAGGTCTAGTTCTTGCTGCAGGAGGAAGAATGTCTAGTCAGTCCTTGGAAGAGGGACACAGCATTTCCTGGTACTAGATTCTAAGGAAGAGTCACTCAAAGCTTTGGGAAGGGTCCCAGGCCACCCAAACAGCCTTCAGAGGCCACTGAGGCTCAACATTGATACTTAGAGAAGCCTCTGATGCAGGGCCAGGTTCAAGGAGGTCTACTTCCAGGCTTTTCTGGGGCTCCCTCTGCTCCCCCAGATTCCCAGAACTGCGATGACAGGGAGCCCACAGAAAGAGATTAAGCCCAAACAGAAGACAGTTGGGACTCTGCCACTCCCGAGTCGTGTGACCTTGGGCAGGATTCCTGCTTTTCTGAGCATCAGGCCCGGGAACAACTTGTCCTCCTCAAGGAGTTCATGGGTACAAAGTCAGCTGAGGGCTGGGCACACAGTGAATGCTCAGTGAAAGGAAGGATTTGGTGCTCACAGGTCAGACTAGGGAGTTCAGCCTTCGAATCTAGGGCTCCTGACACCTTCTTCACTGGACCCCTGAGCTTGGCTCCAGAACGAGCTTCTCTTTTCTCCCAGATTCATCATGACAGGCTCAGCATCTCGGATCAGGCTGGGCAGCAAGTGTGTGTGTGTGTGTGTGTGTGTGTGTGTGTGTGTGTGTGTGTAGGGAAGTGGGGTGGAAGGAGGCGGGGGACTTCTCTCAACTCTCCCTCCTTCTCCTCTAGGGCTCTGTGGGGGAAGGTCCTGCCCTGGGCACCCCTCCTGGAGGGGCCCTGTCACACTCTGAGTCTGGGGCTGTCACCCGATCCCAGGGCTCACATTCAGGCCCCGCTGGATCCCTTTCAGCTGGTGATTCAATCCGTCTCTTCAGGCCTGGTGTGACCATACTCACCAGGTAGTAGGGAAGGCCCAGAACCAGCATGGTGGGACCCTCCCCAGGAGGCCATGAAGGAGGCACACTGGAGCTATCTGGACCTGGCCATCCGAGTGGGGACTCAGTGGCCTTTAGACAGCAACAAGGACCTGGGGAGACGTAAGATTTGGGGGGAGGCAGCACAGCCTGGTGATCAGGGCTCTGGCTCTAGACTTGCATAGGAAATATGATAGCCTTAGAGCCTAGCTCAGGGCCATGCTGTGTGATGTTGGGCCAATGCCTTGCCCTCTCTGTGCCATTACTTCTTACTAATACAGAGACAGTTAATTCTGTCCCTCATGGGTTACTGGGAGAACTAAACAAAGTAATCCTCTGAACCCAGCCCTGGGCCAGGGCTCCAGAAGTAAGAGATTCTTTTGATAGTGGTGATGGGAGCCCAGGAAGCCAGGCCCCACATTACCTGAAAAATTAGATGGGAATGAGGGAGTGATAGTCCTGTCATTGTCCTGTCATTGCCAGGTTCTTCTGCCACCTGCAGGCTGCCTGGGATCTCTGCCCAGACCCAGTCTAGGAGCGAGGGGCCTGGGTAGGGATGGGACCAAATTCTGTGCAGTGAATTTTCTGAATGGAAAGCCTCCCAGCCCTGGGCAATGCCTGGATGCTCTCTGGGGTGCCACTTAGGTCCACACCCCATTTTTTCCTGCAGTGGTGACTGGGGGGCCTCTGGAGGGGCCCTACCGGCTCAAGCAATTCCATTTCCACTGGGGCCAGAAGCACAGCGTGGGCTCGGAGCACACGGTGGATGGCAAGTCATTCCCCAGCGAGGTAAGGGCCCTCCTATCCCCCCCACACCCTATCAGGGAGAGGAGAGCCGGGGGTGGGCGCCAAGCCAGATGGATGCCCTCCACCCACCCCAGCTCAGGGTCTTTACCTGAACTCTAACCCTTGCTGGCCTGGTCCATGTGTCTAGTTCTCTGAAAGGCAAATCCAGTCCCCCATGCCCTGAGTCACCCCCTTTCCAACTGGATCTGGGGCTGGAGAAACAGTAGGGAACGTGCACTGGCCTTGCCCAGAGCTGACCCCTGTTCTCCCCCCAGCACCACAAATGGTCCCCTGAGAACCCTTGGGTGTGGTCAAAAAAAGAGTGGGGCTGGCATTCCAGGCCCAGCAGGCCTGGCCTTCCTGGCCTTGAGTCCCCCGCTGATCTGTACATGCTCCTCCCTCAGCCCAGGGCTGGCCCCTGTCTTGTCCACCCACTCAGCCTTTGGCCCACACCGTTCTCCTCCAGGGATGCTTCTCCAGAGCGTCTGTCCGGTAGCTCCACCCTCTCCTTTGCATTCAGCTCCGGGACACTCATCTGTTTAACATTGACTTGGTGGAGGACCGGCGCCCTTGCCGGGCTCCGTGGGCTCAGGGAAGGATGGACCCACAATATGGAGGATGTTGTCTCTCAGAGCTTTGTCAAGCTACCGCCGCCCGCCCCCGCTTCACCCCCCTCCCCCTGCAGCAGACCTGGAGTTTGCTGGGAGTCCAGTAAGCCTGGGTCCCAGCTCCCCTGGTCCCTGGCAGGCGCTAAGCCCTGGCCGGTTGTCACCCCGTAGCTGCACCTGGTTCACTGGAATGCCACCAAGTACAGCACCTTTGGGGAGGCGGCCTCGGCACCCGATGGCCTGGCTGTGGTCGGTGTCTTCCTGGAGGTGAGGGGGGTGAAGTGGGGCCAGGAGGGGCACGGGAGGCCTGGCACTGCCCCCGGTTCCAGACCGTAGGGGATGCTAGACTCACCTGACCCTCTCCCCTACAGACAGGCAATGAGCACCCCAGCATGAACCGCCTGACCGATGCCCTCTACATGGTGCGGTTTAAGGTGAGAGCAGGGGTCTGTGGGCCTGGCCCAAAGCAGCCTGGAGGGGAGCGTGGGGGGCAGTACTGGACCCAGGAGCAGACAGGCCCTTGCTGAGATGAAGGGCACCAGGCAGTGCTGGAAGAGCCGTGCTCCTTGCTCCCGTTCCCAGGTTCTTGGGGCTCTACTGAGACCCTCAGATCCAACCCTGTGGAGCATAGGATTGCCAAGATGCTCACTAGGCAGCTGGACACGCACAGACAGGGCCACTCAGGGTCACTGAAGGCCAGGGAGAGGATGGGGAGGGGGGTGACAAAGGGCTCGGGAGGAATCACAACTTTTACACTCGATGGGGAGGGGGTGGACGGGGGAATGGACTGGCTGGGGCTGCATCTGGGACTGCAGACATGTGCCTATGATTTGCATCAGTGGGCAGCCATGAGGCTGCCCGTGCTGATTCCCGGATCCTCGGCCCTGTCCAGGGCACCAAGGCCCAGTTCAGCTGCTTCAACCCCAAGTGCCTCCTGCCCACCAGCCGGCACTACTGGACCTACCCGGGCTCCCTGACGACCCCCCCGCTGAGCGAGAGCGTCACCTGGATCGTGCTCAGGGAGCCCATTAGCATCTCGGAGAGGCAGGTGAGTCCTCCCAAAGTACCAGGCAGAGGGTTGCAGTGCTCGGCGTCCCTCTAAGGACCTGTGACTCTCCCAGTCAGCACCCCACGACCTGAACCCCCACGGTCATGGCTCCAGTCTTTTTGCTAATCATCATTGAGTCTCTGGGTTGGGAGTTGTCTGGTTTTGCTGCCTGTAAGGACCTAGACACTGAGTGGGAGGGGAGACCCCTGAATTCTGTGACTAGCCGCTGCTGTCAGGCTCTGAACTGGAACTGGAGAGAGCGGGGTCCGGGGTGCGAGTCCTTCAGTGAATAAATGAAGTTGGAGGCCAAAAAGGGAGAGTCAGAGAATGTGCTTGGGGTCGAAAAAGGCAGTCCCCCATGCCCCCCTCATCTTTTCTATCTTCTCAGATGGAGAAGTTTCGAAGCTTACTTTTCACCTCGGAAGACGATGAGAGGATTCACATGGTGAACAACTTCCGGCCGCCACAGCCACTCAAGGGACGGGTGGTCAAGGCCTCCTTCCGGGCCTGAGCTGCCCACCTGCCCCACCAGCTACTAGGCACCATCCTATCAAGGGCTTCCACGTCAGCAGACACCAAACCATTGAGGCTCCCCGCCTGGGGGTGCCGTGGACAGCCTCTGGCCAGTTTGTCCTTGGCCACCCTGGAGGTTTCTTGATGGGGCCCTGGAGTTGGGGAGAGGAAGGGCTAGAGCTGAGCGTGGGCCCAGCCTGGGGTCACCTCAGCTTCTCCAGGACCCTAAGGTTCATCGCCCCCCCACCCCTAACCCCCTTCCCCGGAGCTCACACTGTGATTGATGGACGAGATCAGGCTCGGCGGGGCAGGCTGCGGGCAAAGCCAGGAAGACTTAAGCAATAATTAGAGGCAGGCAGAGCTGCCCCTCGGCGTTACCTCTGGCGTTACCTCTTCTGCAGCCTCCGCCACGCACGCGGCACCTCAGTGCCAGGCCGTTGAAGTCAGCACCCGGTGGCCGGAGGGGCCGTGGCCTTCTCCCTCCAGCCACCTGCTGCTGGAATGGCACTGGCAACAGCTTTCCCTTATTCCCCAATTTCTCCCCTTAGCACTGCCCCGCCCCCTGCATCCCTCCCTCCTGCCCCCACCCCCACCCCCCGTCCCTGCCAGCCACCAAAGCCATCCAGGTGACAAGCCATCCTCATGTTGGTTAATAAATTCATCTGTGCAGCGAATCCCTTTGAATGTCTGTGCTGCGGTCATCCTCAGCTTTATGATGTGTCCGTCCAGGGAGGGACAGGGAGTGTGAGGACAGAGCAGGGCAGGTGGGCGGAATTCCTGTCCCAAGACTAATGGGAGCATTCAAAAAAAATTTGAACTACCTCCCAAGTAGTTCTTAGAGAACGTAGAGCCACTCTTGGTGGTGCTTGGCCCCCGGGACAGGGTGGCTCAATTCTTGGGTCCGCATGTGGTGCTGCTCAGGCCCAGGGGTCCTGGGGACCACCAGGGCCACACCTGGTGGTACTTAAGGGCCAACAGGCCTAGATCTGACAGTGCCGAACACGGGGCCTCTGACATGCAAGGCATAAGCGCCTTGCCTTTTGAACTATCTCCCTGATGCCTTTTTAGACTTTGCAGGGGCCAGAGAGATAGTACAGCAGGTAGGGTGTTTGCCTTGCACCTGGCTGGCCCGGGTTCAGTCCCCAGCATCCCATATGGTTCCCCCAAGCACTGCCAGGAGTAATTCCTGAGTGCAGAGTCAGGAGTAACCCCTGAGCATCACTGGGTATGGCTCCAAAAGCTAAATAAATAAATAGACTGCCAGGGAAGAAATGGGAAAGCAATGGGAAGGACAGTGTGGGCTGCCAAGACTCTAGAGGCCTGCAGCTGAATCCGCAGCACATAGCAGCAGCACAAGGAACTAGTTCTGTTTAGATTCAGGGTCTCATCCAACAGTGCTGCACATCACTCAGGGGTCACTCCTGGGGGTGCTCAGGGTGCCTTGCCAGGGGTAGAACCTGGACTTTCCGCTTGCAAAGCTTATGCCCAGCCCTGGGAGTCAGCTCCCCAGCACTGTGACTGAGCTCAAAGCCACACCCTTGTCCTGGGAACTTTTTCAGGTCCTGAGCCACTGCTGGACTTTCTAATGGGAGTGTTGAAGCGTCTGGTGTAGCGGAGAACCCAGGGAATATGACTGGATGGTGGTGGGGCCAGGCCAGAAGAGCAGAGAGCTGGGTGAGAGATCTGGGGGTGGCACCCAAATACCGCTTCAGCTCTATGTGAGTGTGTACCTGGGTGGAGAGCAGAGACAGGGGACCCTGGGGAGGACCTAATGGAGGTTAGGTAGGCAGAACATTGAGGAGCTCAGAGGGAGGGGCTGGGAGATAGAGAAATGTTGGGGTCTGAGCACAGGAGAATGGTGGGGAGTAGAGGGGCTGCCTTGGGCCTTGGACCTTGAAGCTGAAGGGCTGCATGGGGGGAAACGGGGGGCAGAGATATGAGAGGCGGAGGGTGTGATCTGGGGATAGAGCTCCAGAAAAGCACATGCCTCGATCATGCCTCACACATAGGATGTCCCTGGCTTGATTCCCAGCACCTGACCCACCCCCAAAGACACACAGGCTATTTTTTTTTACAATTCACAACACATTTTACTTACAGTTTTGCACACTGTTTTAATATGAATGGGACAGTTTATTTACTTGAGCCATATTTTAATCAAAGCAATATAACCTAAGTAATAACACTGTCCTCCCATTGTTCATTGATTTGCTCAAGCGGGCCCAGTAACGTCTCCATTGTGAGACTTCTTGTTACTGTATTTGGCTGAATACTCTCGGTAGCTTGTCAGGCTCTCTGAGAGGGGTGGAGGAATCGAACCTGGCTCAACCAGGCTGGCTGTGTGCAAGGCGAATGCCCTACCACTGTGCTATTGCTCCAGCCCTAAGTAATACAAAGTGTTAAAATACAGCATAGAGATACGAAAATAAACTAATTCTAACTAGGAGTGACATATGATGCTACGTTTTTTATAATCAATAATTATGTTTAAGAAATCACACAAACATAGATCACTGATTTGAATAAAATGCACAATTTGTAGCAAAGCTTTGTAGTTAAAAAAACCAAAATTACCAAAGAATGCACAAAATTAATGTTTATTCTACCTTTGTGTCATATTCCTGGATCCTCACCAATGTTACATGAGGACAAAACACAAGCAAAACAAATGAAAATCTGAAATCAGAATCATTAATGGGAAACAACTAAATTAAAACCTAGCAGCTATCAGCCAGAGCAAAAACAATGCTGTGAAAAAGAAACAGAGACAATTGCTAGAAAACTGCGCGTCATACTCTCCTCAAACCAGCAAAATATGCTCCTGCATACAATGGAACATAATATTTTTTTTCCTGCAAAGAATGGAAATGCAAGCTGTTGGGGTTTTTTTTCTTCTTAATATTGTGAATGGTTAAAGTGTGTTTGTAATGTTAATTCAACTAAGTTCTAATAGAGTTGGCCAGAAACACATGTGTACAATTCTTTGATTGGGATAGCCAACTCTCTAGCCAAAAGAAATCCAAAAACCCATAAACAAAGATTTGGGAAGGGATGTTAGGGGCTGCAGAGGAGTCATGGAGCTGAACCTGTTGAATCCTTGGGAGATGAGTGATTCTGGGGGTGCAAAACTGAAGGGGTCATATACCCTCAGGCACCACCATGCATGTTTGCCCCAGCCCCAGTCTGCAGAGCTCAAAGGTTTTAGAGATCCAAGATCAGCGAGACCCGCAGGACCAGAGCAGGAGGGGAGAAGCCAGGTAGTGACCACACTGGACTGGTTCTGAAGGTGGGGGGCTTATTGGAGGGAATTGGGGCAGGACTTGGAGGTTCACAGATGAGGATTGCCTGAACCAGTGCACTGAGCATGAGGGAGATGGTCAGGGAGGGGATCACTGGGCCCTCACCCCTAAACCTCTCCCAGGTCAATATCTAACTCTGGGCTGCATAGGAGAATGTCAGGAAGGGGAGGGTTAGAGTACGGGGGTGCAGAGAAGAGAGGGATGCCCCATTGGCCTCCCGACCAGGGCCCAAGGGAAGAATCCCTTATCCAGGGCAGCACCCAGGTCTGATCTGGGGGGGTCCTTATCCACCTGACCTCCAGGATTTAGGTGAATAAGAAGAGGAGAGCTCTCAGGATAGAGTTTGCTCAGCTGTGGGGCAGGTGGTGGCAGGTCACTAGGAAAAGAGCTGGGAGCCCCTGCTCCTCCCTCCCAGAACCCCCAACATCATTAGTATCCCTAGGAGGGTAGTACTGATCAACAGGAGCTTAAGATGATCAGTGAAGAGAGAATTTGAACCCAGATCTGCCCTGTTACTTGCTGGCACTAACCCAGGCAGCTGATCTGGGCTGAGAGTGCTGGGCATGGTGGTGGCCACCTGTGGGTGGAGCAAGAGGCCTGAAGTGCCAGTGCTTCCAGGGGACCTGAGAATCAGGAACTGCCTTTCTAATAGTGACCCCAGCTGGCCAAGAGTCCTCACCCCCTAAATCCTTTCCCTTCATGAGCTTTTTTCCATTTAAAATGGTTTTTGTCATTTTATTTATTACAAAATTGTTCATGATGATTTGTTATAGACATTCAATATTCTAATACAAATCCCCCACCATTGCATCTTCCCACCACCCTTATTTCCAATTTACCAACCACCCTTAAGCCTGCCCCCATAGCAGGCCCTCAATAATTTATTTTGTATTGCTTAGCACTGTAGCACTGTCCTCCTGTTGTTCATCGATTTGCTGGAGCGGGCACCAGTAACGTCTCACCATTGTGAGACTTGTTACTGTTTTTGGCATATCGAATACATCACAGTAGCTTTGCCGTGTGGGCGGGATACTCTCAGTAGCTTACCAGGCTCTTCGAGAGGGATGGAGGAATCGAATCCGGGTCAGCCGCGTGCAAGGTGAATGCCCTACCCACTGTGCTATGTTCAAAAATAGTTCCTTAGAAGAAAGTTAGTGAAGATTGTTGTATTTCACCATGGAGTCATTAAGCCCTTGCATAAGAGATTACAAAGATGTTGCTACAAGTTAAGCCTTCTGTGTTTATATTCTGTTAATTGAGATTTGTTGCTTTCTACATTACATCCCATCCAATCTGGTGTGCTTCTTCTGGTTTATCAGTACCTTAGAGCTTGAGATGTTTTAAGGGGTGATATAGTTAGAGTTAAATTTTTAACTGGGTGGCAGCTTAGGAACATGTGCATGACTGCTAGAACTTCTGGAAGTTCAGGGAGATGCGGGGAGGTAGTCCATCCCTGACTCCATGAAGCCTGGAGATTTCAGACACAAAACCCACATACCTCAGTTTTCCAACAGATTAATTTTTAGATGAGGCTCATCCTGAACATGGAGTCCAACTATGAGTGTGTTGGTGATTGTGGAGTGGAGTGTGGAGGTTTTCAGCTGATGGAACCTCTATTTGGGTGGATCCTCAGAAGGGCCCCAGGGCTACTCAGCCTTGCACAGGATCCAGAAGAATCTTTGCAACTTGTTGATCTCTTTCGAGATTTATTTATGAGTCTCTGGATCATGGTACCAGAGGTGGTTTGTGGGTGTGACTCCATTTAAAACTATTTGAAACCAAAAAGTGGCCTTGTTCAGATACAAGCACAGTTCAAAATTTGATCTTTTTTTAAATCTCCAAATGGAATTAGCTCCTCACTAACAGTATCCTGTGAACTCGACTTCAAGAATGCTCCAAGAGGGCTGGAGAGATAGTACAGTGGGTAGAGCATTTGTTTTGCACACTGGGATGATCTGAGTGATCCAGCTGACCCAGGTTTGACCCCAGCATCCCATATGGTTCCCTGTGCAGCATTAGGCATAATTCTTGAGTGTAGAGTCAAAAATTACCAGGAATAATCCCTTGAGCATCACTGGGTATGACCCAAAAAAGTAAAAAAAAAAAATCCTCAGGAAGGGCACAGTTTCCTCCTTGATGATGCTGGGCATTTTTAGGGTCTCCAAGTAAAGATGATCCCAAGAAACCAGAAAGGGAGCCAG